CCCCCTCCCCAAAAAAAGAAAATTCCTCACTGCCCCCTTCAACTCCCTCCCGCCATGGCCATGGCAATGCTATCTACAAAACCCTACTCTGATCCTTGCCTATCCACCTAGCTCCCTATAAACCTATCCTTACAGCGCCACAGCATGGTAGGTAGGAGACTTTTAAAGGGGGAAGAGGGTGGCAGAAGTAGAAATGGATGGGAAGAGCTGCCTAAGGATTTATTTAAAGCTTGAGTGTTGGAAGAGAATTTTGCATACTGGCTTGTTCTTTGCAGCTTGATAGTGATGCACTGCCATTACTGTTTCAATGATGCTGTACAAAAATGTATACTCAAAAATGGATCAAACAAATACGACCAGCTCTTTATTTGACCTTCTACCTTCTGTGGTTGACTTACTGATAACACCAGTGCCTTCTTGGAGAGAAGTCTGATGAGTGACTTATCTGAGAAAAATAAATTCAAAGCTGAATCATAAATCAGTTTGAATTATTACATTTTAAATTTGAGTACAGAAAAGCACATCGATGTAATTGTGGTCATTTATTGCACAAAATAATAAGACAGACAGGAAAATAAGTTGGAATGGCAAAAAAGGGAGCTACCCTCACCTCGCACTAAATAAGAAAGAGAAGTACATTAATTGTCATTGATCGATTGGGTACGTATTGTATGGTGCAATGGAGTTATTCCTGTTCATGACAGTGCGACAAATATTTTCCGAACAAAGGCATTCACCCAAAAAAACTTAGTGCATTGTTAATCCCTGATATTTTTATCTAAATCTTAAAAAAGACGGGGATCTTTCTTGGGCCAATATTAAAAAGACATCCATGTTAGATCATCTAAAATATCTAATACGTGAAAAATATAAAATTCAACACGTTCTTTTAAAATAAGCTAAGCAGTAAAAAGAAAATGTAGCTTGTGATACAGAAAGGAGCTTCTTGTTCTTCAAGGAAACGTCTGTGCTACTCATGTGTGTCCAACTTTTAATTTTAAAATTACCTTACCACTATTCCTATACTGGTGTGAAAAGAGACATGACGAAGGACAGTTTTTGAGAGACACAAATGTAAAAATGAAACTTTCAAGTTTACCCACCAATGGGTATTCTTATTTTTCAGTTGTAATAGGTAAAAAAAAAATGAAATACCTTCTGAGACTAATTATCATTTAAAACTTCTCGTTTCTTGACACAGTCGATATAGACAGTCCTCTCATTCTGTAAGCGATCCGCAGGTCCTGCAGGCAGTTCTGGGGATAAAAACATGTTTCAAATAAAATCTTTCATAGTTTATTTAGTTTCAGAGGATAAAAACGTTCACTAAACTGGTGTCGTTAAAGCAAATCCCGTAACTATACAGTTCTATTTACAAAAATCAATATTCACTATGTGGGTTGTACAGAAGTGATAAAAGGCAGGTTACAATTACAAGTGAGAGTTTTTTAGAGAGGCATGGAGGCAAAAAATCACAATGATTTAAAGTCAGAGCGACTAGTGCAAATGTTGAAATTTTCTTGAAAAAATAAAACTTTCTGACCAGCCAATGATTGTTCTATTAGTTTTACTACAGAAATAACTTACATAACGTCTTAGTAAGTCAGTGGGCCGAGTTGCAAGACATTTTTCAAAGACAATTACCTTCTGAAGCCGACTACCATTCATCCCTTATTGGCAATCTTCCAGTCCGATAGGTGGTGCTGTAGGCTATACTGTCCTGTAGACAGTCCTCCGGTCCTCAAGTCCTCCAGGAGGCACACATCCGCTTCCGCAGGTGGTCGTCCAGACCTACAGATAATCCTCCTGGTTTGTAGGCGGTCCTAGTAATGAAATTATGTATCAAAGACAATTCTCTGACATCTGACATATTTTAAAGACGTTACTTTCTGAAAATGACTATTATTCATCACTTATTGGCAGTCCTCCTGTCCCGTAGACAGTGCTCCAGTCCTCCAAGTCCTGCGGATTGATGGTCCTCTAGTCCTATAGGTGATCTTCCATTCCTGCCTTGCAGTCCATTCTTGCAGATGTTCCTCCAGCCCTGCAAACGACTTTCTGGTCCTCCAGTCCTACAGATAATCATCTAGGTTTGTAGGCGGTCCTTGTAAAGAAACCAAGAATCAATAAAGAAAATTCTGGCATCTGATATATTCCAAAAAGAAAATTACTTTTGAAGGAGACCATCGTTCATATCACTTCTTATTGGCAGTCTTCAAGTCATGTAGGTGGTCCTGTATGCTGTGCCCCGGTCCTTTCATCCTACAGGTGGTCGTCAGACCCAACAGGATGTCCCCCCGTCCTGAGGGCAGACCTCCTCTCCTCCAGTCTTACAGATAATCCTCCAGGTTTGTTGGCGGTCCTAATAAAGAAAGCGTGTCAGAAAATTATGTGACGTCTATACAGTTCAATATAAAAATATTCAAGATAAAGGTGGTACAAACGTAGTTAAAAGTAGGTTCGTAATATGACAAGCGCAGGTTTTTGAGAAAAGTCAAAATGTGAAAATCACAATTATTTAAAGCCCAGGGCTATCAGTGCAAATGTTCAAAATTTCCTCTAAGACAATGACACTGCAGATACTTTATTGTGTACAGTATTTGTTTGAATTGCATGCATCATAAGAAAATTATATTATTTAGGTATATTTTCAGGACCCAGTTAATTAGGGGCAGTTTTTGAGAAACGCCTAAATGCAAAAATGAATCTCTCACCCACCAATCATTATTCTTTTAGTTTTGGTACAGAAATAAATTACATAATATCAAAGTCAGAGAATACAGTTGCAATACATTTAAAAGACAATTACCTTCTGAGGCGGACCATCATTCATCACTTCTTATTGACTGTCTTCCAGTCCCTGTAGGCTGTCCTCCTGACCAACTGGTGGTATCAGAGTGCCTGCTATCACAGAAGGTCAAAAGCCAAAAAAGAACAGCTAGCAGTGTTTGTTTCATTCATTGAGTATACATTTTACAGCACCATTGACACAATTCTGGCAGCACAACGCCAACAAGCTGCAAGGAACAATCCAGTATACAAATGGCACTTCAACACGCAAGCTTAAAATCAGCAGACAGATTTGCCCACGCAATTCGACTTCTGCCCCTCCTGTGCCC